TAAGTCGTCCTTACGCGTACATTGTCCCGCCTAACAAAGAGAACAGAAACTGGCACAACAGTTGCTATGTTAAATGTCACAGGTACTAGAGCCACACTTTTATAAAGTATTACGCGCTATTTTTCGGCACATTCTCTAAATCTTCTCCAATGGAACCAATTTTATGAAGTTGGGATGCAGTGCATCGCAATAATAGGTTTTGTACCACGTGAACCCATCGATATCAGCGCTACGAATATAGAGAGTTTATTACATCTATGTGAAACCAGCTGCCCACTGAAGTATTTCCGAACCACTTCGACTGAGGGCCCTTAAGAAAAGAGCGTCCCAACTCTTAAAAGGCCGGCAACGCACTCGCGAACTCTCTGGGATTAAAAGTGTCCATGGGCATCAGGATGGCCTAATGCCCAAACGCCCCTGTTCTAGTAAAAAAAACAAACCTACATCCAAAAACACTGGTCATTATCGCTGTAGCTGTTGGATGTTAGTAAGGGCGTTATTGTGCACCAATAGTTTTTTAGTATTCTCAATTCAATTCACAGTTTTATCTTGCTAGTAACCCGAAGAAAAATATTGAAAGGCTACCAAACGCAGCTTTAACCTATAGTTAACGATATCAAAAATGTTCAGTTATACCGATATACTGATTTTGGTGAAAAAGTGACAAAGATAAACGGCACATGAATGCGTTTTGTGTCGAATTATATTTTTGTAATTTTTCCAAGCAAATAACCATAAACCGACTATTTGCCTGTTTCGTCTATGTATTTGCGTGTTGATCACACGAGAATGTAAGTGCGTGCTCCTATTTCACCATGCCTACTGCTGTATTTTGTAGAACAAAAAACTTGGCGATTAAAAAGAGTGGCGGATAGGTTATGGCCAGTTCTTCTCGTCCGTTCTACGCCCTTGATTTGAGAACTGCCAGTAAATGTAAAATTAGAAGCATTTATTACGTATTTCTTTATTGACGTACTTTGTGGTACCTAAATGAATAAATGATTTTTTATTTTTGAATTTTTTGGTAGTCAGTGTCTTTTTATATTTAAAATAATTAATCCATATTTATTATAATATCATATCGTAGTCCAAACAAAGATTAAACATGCGCATTTAACTTGTTTTAGCTATGTTTATTTCAGATGTAGTAAGTACCTACCTCCATTATTTAGTTCGCACTTTAGCATTTATTCAATAAAGATAGCTTTTTAGCAATGACTAATATGAATAATCAATAAATTACACTTTTAAATACAACGTCCGTAAGTTCGATTTAAAACAATATATCGTATTCTAAATTCTTCAATTCCAATAATTATAAGTATTATACAAATCGTATTATAAATCGTTGAAAATAGTGCGACTGTCAAGAATGATAATATTATGATTATTTTTCCGACCCAAATATCGACCAATAGAATTGCACCATTCGCGTCACGTGGTACAACCTACATGGTATTATACTGATATTTTTTGAAAATTTTCTCTGGTAGTTGCTTCAAGAAAAGTATAAGTAGTTGTTTTATTCATTTGAAATTTATTGTTAACTGAATTTCGTCTAGGTGAATTTATTGGCCGAAATTTGGGTCGAAAAATAATCCCCGAATACCACACGAGCTTCAAAATTATCTGGTATTTCCCTAAGGTTTGAAACAAATAAGTCTCAGTTTTTAGGTTAAAAATCAATGAAAAACTTGACTCCTTCATTTGTTTGAACGAACATGGAAAAGATAATTATTTAATAAAAAAATTTAGTAAAACGCCGCACCTTCGAAATTGTATTTGGTCGGTACAAAACACCCACGCGGACGCAACTTAATCAAGCAATTAATTCTTAATTGAATTATTTCCCTACGGGCCGTCACTCGCAGAGGTAAGTTTTAAAGAGTAGTTAATTTATTAGCACTTCAATATTTGAATTTCAGATTGTCTTTGTTATTACAAAAAGTGTAAGACTAGTTTGACAAAAAGGTGCGTGTGTGTCTGTAGCCGTGTAAAATCGAAGACATGCTTTAGACGTACAAGCAAATGAACAGTGTGCTAAATATGTAGTCACCGAAAAGTCGCCTGACTCAATCTCGTCTATGTAAAATTGTAGGACTCGAATTAAACACAAAAATAGACACATGCAAAGTAAATGAGAACAGAATTGGAACACACGATACCAGGGTTGGGAATCGCTTAAACAGTTCGTCTTACATTATGAGAGTAATGTTATTAAGAGCCTTTTTAATTACTCAATATTGGTATAACAAAACGCCCGTTAATAAGACTTAACTTGTAATTATATCAACGGAAGAAATATTTCCACATACTAGCATACGGCGCACCACTGAGACCGTTGATCAGTTAACTTTAAAGCTCATTAAAATTGATGGTTCATTCTGTATGAAAATTCCATGCCGGCGGAAAATTAAAATGATACCCGAGGCGACCGTGGCCTCACTCGTAACTGGGGCGTAAGAGAAAAACTTGTATTTCACATATTCGAATGAATTTTATCGCACTTGCATTTTATTTTAAAATTCGAACAAGTTAAAAAATTCGGACGTGTCGCATCGAATGTTGGGAGCGCGATTAATCCGAACTGCGAAATCAGAGAAAGACAAAATCGCATCTACGTTCGGCATATGCATGCAATGCAGGATGAATGTGCCGTTATCGTAGAGTCACAGACAAACGGCTGGACCACAACCCGATGCTAAATACTCGGCAATAATGTACTTACGACGGGTGTCGTGTGGAGATTTGCTTTATGAATTGCCTTAATTGAAATTGTTGACAATAGTAACATTGATTTCATTTATTCCCGCAGTCTGTGCCCAGTTGATAAATAATTCAATGTATTATTCAGTCCAAGCTTTTAACGTACTTTACGTCTAAAAGGGAATGTCTGATGAAAAAGACTTTTTAAGCAAGCGAATATGGTTTTTGTTGATAGACAAATAAAAGTGGATTTAGTCATTAAATCATTTTATTAAAAAATAGGTTTGTATAGACCGTTATTACAAAATTAAAATAGATTTAGGTCGTAGTTAAGATAATTCCGTTACAAGCAGAGGCCTTTATAAACAATACGTCCTGTACCATAAAATTAATTTAGTAAAATACACTTCTCAGTTACTATACAGGAATAATTTAAAACTAAATAAAATGTTGTTTACAAAAGAATTTACAAATTATGTATGATAAATACTTGAAAGCTATAGTAGTGCCGATTTACTTTAACTTTATGGTGTTATACTGTTAGCTTAATTACAATTGTTGACATTTAAGTGATGAATAGGAACTACAAGAGTTTTGGGTTTTGAAGAAATTGTGATTCCGAATAAAACTATTAAAAGTTTTATCATATAATAGTATAACTATTTTTAATTGAGTTCACGTACGTACCTTATCAAATATTCATTTAAATGTTTTTGGATTAACACAGTAACACAACTGTCAGAATAAAACTGTTAACAGTATTACGTTGTGTTAATAACTATTAATAAATAATAAGATATCATCAATACATATTTCTATAATTCATATGCACGATCAAATTCTGACAAAATAATCGGTGTACTAATTTTGACACTTTACTTGTTTAAGAAGCCTAACTTTAATATCTAAATATGATATGCAATACAAATCGTGCTAATTGTCGTCATAACAAGTGATTATATAACTCATATCACATTAACTTACGTAGATTTATCTCATGTAGAAGCTTCATTTGATTATTTCACAACTCGAATCTTTGTTAGGAAATCTTACTTATGGCACATTAAATAAAATCACTATCTAACGAAACTAAAGTCTAGTTAAATTTGTGCTTTACATTTAAGTTTCAAACCCTAAACAGAGTACCCAATATTGACTCTAACATCAAGATTTTTAGCTTCAATACATAGGTATTAAGTTACAATCTCCAACAAAATTTCTAATGTTAATTTTTAAATGTTAGAACTCCCAGTTGGTACACTGCACTACAGTTTATAAACCAACTAATCTTTTTTAGGCTAATCACTCCCTGCGTCGGTACTCTGAAACTTCCAATGGCTATAGCCATCCCGACTTCAATGTCGAATTATTGTACCGTGCGATCTCAAGATTGCGATATCAGCGCTATTGGACGAACTATATATAAAAACGTATCTATTGGAAGTTACGTCGAAAAAACTTTTGCAGAACATTCAACAACGGAAAGTTGCGTACCTGGGCCACGTGTTGCGCCATGACCTCTACCACCTCCTTCAATTAATTATAATGGGTAAAATCCAGGGTAAACGGCGTGTTGGTAGAAGGAAGAAATCATGGCTTCGCAACGTTAGAGAATGGACAGGTAATGCAATTGCGGAAGAGTTGCTGCATCTGGCACAGGACAAGACACGCTTCAAGATACTGACGGCCAACCTCCAGTAATGGAGAGGCACTAAAAGAAGAAGATTGGAAGTTACAGAGTACCGATGCTGTTCTAATTTAGCTACAGTTTTGTGAAAGTTCTGCAACTACATTATCCATGACTATAGTATACACTAGCTTTATATTTCAAATTATTGCCAAGCGTTAATCTTCCAGTGTCTAACAATACTAATCTAATGATATATGGTTTAAAATTCGTTTATTGATATACAGACGGACATACATCAATCCCCATTAGTCCAATAAACGTCTATTTATATACATATTTACATTTATACATCGATACATAACAATAGACTAGTTAGTTCCATAAAATTTACGAAAGTCTTTAGAAATTAGTGCCGCAAATTAAACTTAGGCCATAAATTAAACAGTCTCTATAAGTAACTTTCTCACTAAAGTTCTTCACGAAAACCGACACATACACTTTGGGTAAGATAGTCTAGAGTGCTTAGTGACACCCGTATATTAAAAAAATGATTAGTGCTAAGTTTCGACTATAAATCTTACCCCTAGAACGAAACATTTCACTGATTTCTCGTCGGTTAAACGTCCGTTTGGCACAAATCGCCGAAAACCGGCAAAGCGTGATACTACCGCGTCACTGAATCGCGTGGATGTGAAGTCGGAACAGAAGGTGCAAGTGACGGCTGAGTTCCATTCGTTGTGTTCTGTGCATGTCTGAATGACGTAAATCTTGCGAGCGTCCGTGACCCGTCGTTGTCGAAGTTTGGCCTTTCGTATTGGTGCTTTGGGCGCTTCTGTGGCTGCATCGATTGGAGCTCATCGTAGCCGCCGTTCTCATCGTAGTTTTCATCGTCAGATTCCTCCACGCCGAAAGCGCGGTAAGTCGACTCTGATTCGGAGTTTTTTCTTGAATTCACCCCGTAAGTTCTTCCAATTAATGACTGTGTAACTTCGGGCGTATTTTTATCACTTTTCCTGTCTTCGAGGCTTTGATTATATCTCAATTGGGCCTTTTGTGTTTTCTCCAGCGATGGAATATCGTAGAATTTCAGTACATTCGGATGGCCTTGGAAATATTTTTCGCTGTACACGTTTCTGTTGTAGTAGCCTCCGTTGCTGGCAGGATATAACTCTTCGTCGGGAGCGTAACGAGCGTCGAAACTATCTACGTTTTTTCCAACCGGCGGAAACCAACCCTGTAGAAAAACCAATGTTAAATGATAACTAAAAGTTCATTTTCATTTAACAAAATATAGATATATGGAGATATATTACAGTAAAAAATGTGTTTATTTAGACTTTGTATCCAACAAAATATTATAGTAAATGTTATAACGGAGTAAATTTGAAATCACAAATCATTTTACTTATTTCATTTGATAATATGGACTATATACTCGTAATATATAAAATTCTTAAACACATATAAAGCTAAATTTATGTTAATATAATTCTTTCGTTAATAATTTGGTAAGTATAATATATAATAAAGTAATAATAATAATAACTAATAAATGTAATAATTTTTAAATAGCAAATCGTTTGCATCTAAGCTAGTATTATTATAAATATGAGTATTTATTAGTCGCTATCCTTACCGTTATATTAATCTATATTATATCTTATTAAGGAAAATCTGTTTCCTATGGCAAAAAAATTAATTAAGTTATAAATAATTAATTTTACTAGAGTTCGTTATAGTGTAGGTGTTCTCTTCTTACCAAGGAACTGACGCATTGTCTGGTGTTAGCAACTAGAGTGACCGATGCATACGCAGCAGGAGACGTAGCAGTTTTGCTCGTGTTCCACTCGTTTGCATTCACCCTGGATGCTGTCACCTCTGCATATTCAGGCAGAGGATGAGCAACCTTGTCATAATCCGAGTTAGTCTTCTCTTTACTTTGATTTGAATGATTCGTTGACATACATAACCCTGGTTGATTTTCCATCCACAATAATGATTCAGTTTTGGTTACGGTGTTTTTGTTATAACAACTACTTAATGGATGTGACAATGATACGGCCGCTTTTATGTTCATTTGTGTTACTAAACTTGTTCCATTTGAATCTAAAACAAAAGCTAACATTAGGGATGTCAATTATTTAGTAATATGAAGAAGTTTTAATGGATTCATTATAAGGAAAATAAAACAAAACCTCGAGGTAGGAAAACTATGAGCCATCAAAGTTGCGCTTGAAAAAGACTTAATTCAACCCATGATGATAATCCAAGATAGTCTCAACTATGTCTCAACGGTTGTAAACTTCAATAAAATGTTCAGTGGTTAATATGTTATGATCATTATGTTGAATTAAACGCCATAAAGTTCCCCAATTAGGTGGAACAAAACATTTCATTTGCTGCGTTTATTTGGATTTGTATCATTCCTTTGTGTCTAAATGTAAAGTGAAAGAGATACTGCGCTAGAGAGGGCTCTACTACCTTTCAACTCGAAAGTAATCTAGCCCTCCTCGCATGGCAAAGCCTCCATCAAACAAACGCTCGCACCCTTGCCACCCCGAGGAATGTTTTTAATTTTAAAATTCTGATCCTAGGGAAATGCAAACTGCGATAAGCTTTCTAACCTTTGTTTCTATACGCGTATTTTAAATCATTGTTGTTTTTTGACTCACCGTAAATGTTCGGTAGCGCTGATTTTTTAGCAAAAATATTGTTTTTTCGTATGTAAATAATACCGGCGATCATTATGACTTTGAATAGTACAATAGCGCCAATTAAAAAATAAAACCATGACTCGAGTACGAAATCCCCTGCTACGATAGATACTTCGCCATTGTTTGGGTATCTGAAATAAAATTAAAGCTTTTACTTACAACAAACAACACGCTTTATTTTTGGTATCTTTCATAAACATACGGTTTTCTTTTAAGTGACAGTAAAGCGTTTAAGAACCGCTATTAAAGCCATATGTTTATGAATATTGCACTAAAATGTATTGACTATGACAGTTGAGATATCTCTTGACCTTATGTAAAAAGTTTTATCTTCAATAAAGCTTTTACGAAGAAGTTAAAACCTACCTCGACAATGGATCCAGTCCTATCGATCTTGTGTCAATATTAAGATACACTTTTTGGCAAAAGGGGCCTAAGCCTATTATATTTTCCGCTGCAATTTGAACGGAGTAGCTCACGCCGGAGGTTAAATTTGTCATTATGAGGCTAGTAGCTTGTTGAACAGTGGTGTTGATTGCAATCATTGACTTATTTGCCGGTATGTCCAGCCAATTAACGACAACATTGTAACCAGTAATGATGCCATTTTGTAAGTGAGGTTCCGGTGGCTGCCATTTTAAATGGACTGTGGTCATGTTTACGATAAACATTTCAATGTTCGTAGGTGGTCCGTCGGGTACTAAAAATTAATTTAAAGTTAATGAAATTCATATATTGCTGTATTATACAATTGTTGTCTTTTGTTTATATAATTATTTAGCATGCAACGAAGTGTATAGTCACTGGGTCTACTATACTACTTAAGTGATGTCATGTACAGACAAATTACGTATATTTTAAATGTAAATGTAAACCTAGGAAGCATTATGAATTACGGCGTGACTTTGAATAAATGAATATTATGTGTAAATAATGAAATATTTACCATCGTCCAGCGTCTGTGTTATTCTTGAATTGGAAGGTTTACCCTCAAATTTCTTATAGAATGGCACAAGGAAAAATTCATATCTCATATATTTTCGGAGAGACGTTATTTCATATCCAGATACGTCGTTGGAATGTAAAATAGTCTTCATATCGTACTCGGTCGTTGTATTGTCTAGGGGTCTAAAGTATATAAACAATCCTTCTAAATAGAAGAAATTTAATATTTTCCACATAAGCTTTATTGTCGTTGCGTCGATTGGCGTCGCCTCAATAAGTTCCACTATGCTATCTGTCATTATATTTTTCCTGTACTCTGTGTTATTTGACCCATTCCACGAGTCTTCGCCGACGGTAATCGAATCTGAGACGGGGCTCGGACTTGATAGTCCATGCGAGTTTTCCGCTCTCACAATAAACATGTATGTTATACCCGGTATTAATGATTTCACTACATAGTGAGTTTGGTGTACTTTCTTAGCAACTATAACCCAGCCTCTCGAATTTCGCGGCGTATTGCTTCCCGACAGCGACTCTCTGGAGAATACTTCAACCTGATATCCAAGTATGGAGGATGACCCAATTTTGTTATTTTGGTTCCATGATATTGTTACGCTATTATTGGTAACATTATAGATATGCGGTTTAGTTGGAGGTCCCGGTAAAGCAGAAATATCGGCGGCTCTAAAGAAATTAATGTTTGGATTTTTTGGATTGTCCACAGTGAGTACTCCACTCCATACATATTTACCGTGAGGAGATGACGCGACACAGGTATATGTACCGCTATCAGTTCTATCCATATCCTTTAAAACCAATGTGCCGTCATTGGAAATATTCCTTCTACGATTTTGTATCAGTGCCTCTCCTTCAAAGTACCAGGCTATTATAGGTTCAGGTGTGCCTATAGCCGAGCAGGGGAAAACGGCCATTGACCCTATAGGTAACGTTTGGTTAGAGGGGCCGTTTGTTATGATTGGAGGTGGCCGGTCGTCGTCTGACGTCACAGTTAGTTTTCCTCTAACTAGTGAACTACCGGCGAAGTTGACCGCTGAACAAACTATCGTATTGCCGCTATCATTTTTATTTGTTCCGTTTATTGTCAATGTTGTGACGCCGTCTATGACGGGCGAAGCGTTATATTTACCCCGCGACGTGCCCGGGAATATAATTGACCTATTTCCTTCGAGACTCCAGAATATTGTTGGCTCCGGTTTACCCGTGGCGCTACAGGTGTAGGTTGCACTTGAGCCACTTTCAACAATAGCGGAGTTTGGTTTTAAAGTTATTGTTGGCGGATCTAAAAAGAATAAGACAATCATTATTGTTTATTTTGTATTTAATATATTGTGACCCTCATAGCCCGACTTACTGTTTGTGATTGCACTGCTCCAAATACCCACCGATTTTAATAAAAATATATATTTAGTAAGTATGACATTAGATTGTAAACTTCATAAAGTTCATCAATAATTTGTGTTGCATAATCGATTAAGGCTATTTGAAATCACACTACGATCAATTATCGAGGTACAGCTAATATCTATACATATTTGCAGTGGCAGAAAAATTATAAAGTAATTATGATGCACTCACCATACACGGTTAAATAACCGCTGGCGCTAACTGCGCCGACTGTATTGTCAGCCTCACAAGTGTACTCCCCCTCGTCCGTCAACAGAACACCGTCAAGCCTGAGGCTCCTGTCATCCAGGAGTTTGACGCGCCCGAGTGGCATATTCCCCCCCTCCCGCCGTTCGACGCCACAATACGTCAGGTAAGGGGTCGCCACCCACCAGACACTGAAACGTCACGCTCCCGCCAGTTTCCGCGACGACGTCTTCGGGCCCCGTCATCAAATATGGCTTAACTGCGCAATTAGAAATTCATTATGACAATTGATAGGCATTTGTTTTGATTATGACAATTGACAGTTGTTTTGGTTATGTAAATTGATTATTCTACTGAATATTGTAGTCATTCACAAGGTATACAGATTTATTAATTAAAAACATATTGTAATATAATATTGATCATTTTGAAATAATAATAACAGGCATGTGTTTTGAGGGGTTTGAATTTTTTAAAGATAATTAATATAATCAATCATTCGTTATGAATATAATTATAAAGTTAAAATGTCAATATGATTTTAAATTTTCATAAATCAGCAATGCACTAGAAAGTAGAAACCAATTGAAAGGTTATTAAATATCATAAATTATACTATTGAAACATGTTTTGTGTACTTACTATGCACTCTGAGTGTTGCAGTAACTGATTCCCTAGTACCGGCTGCATTTCTTGCAATACATTGGTATCGTCCACTATCTGTCTGCCTAGCATCTTGTATCACTAGACTACCTCCATCAACCAAGTGCATTCTAGACAAAAGCACATTAAGATTAATATAATGAGTTCCAGAGACAAAAGAAATAAATTTTTCATTACTCCAAACAAAAGTACATAGTAACAAAGTCATTCAAATATAGGGCGGAATTATTCAATAGAAAATTAACATTTAATAAGGGTTCTGTGAGTCAGAACTATTCAGATTTTTGCTTGATTGCTTGTCGAGCTCTTCAGTTATCCCCTTCTTTATAACTTTGATGTACCCTCCCCATGTTAATTATTTTTATGCTCCAATATACGTACGCCTTGAGATGCAATCTTGCGTTACTCGATAAAAATTCATAGACAGCAAATTGAATAAGTTTAAGCGATTGATTTTGTTTCATTTGTAAACATGGCGTGGCATATTGTAGTGCTTTTCGGGAAATGAAAACACAACACTATCGCATTTCCGACAACCCATTAAGCAGCTAAGAGCTCTTTAAAACTACCCTTGATATAATGATACTTTGTGCAATCGCTATTTTCATTACAAAGACTTGTAAACAAATCTGTACTTAACGAAAATTTGTAGTGCATAGATAAATTTACTGATTTTTAAAACCAATTCAGCTCATACAAAATTTATAAATTGTTCGATATTTTCGTTTTATAAAATATAATAAGCAAGTATTTAATCGGACAAGCAAAAAAGCCGGGGTGGCCACAGAACAGGCGGAAATAATAAACGGCTCAAACATAAGAGTCTTTCCTCCAACTCTGATTTTGTTCTTTGGAGTAGAGACTTTTGGGCCGTGGGGTTCAAGTGCACAGGCGCTAATTAAAGAATGGCGACTGGTACATAGTACCGGTGACCCTAGAGCTAGTACTCGCTCAACGAAAAAGTATCGCAACACAGCAAGGAAATGCTGCCAGTGTTAAATGTACACTGCCACTTTTGTTAATTGTTAATTATTTTTATTATTACTATGTAGGTTAAGAAAATCGTTAATACTATATAATGATTGTTATGATTACTTATAAACATTATGCTTAAGCAAGTTAATTACCTAGAATCACCATCGAAATGTAATATTTGTCCATTTTTCTTCCAATATACGGTTGGTTCTGGTGAGCCTCGGGGTGGTAAACATTCTAATATAACTGTCTCACCCTGAGCTGTCTGAGTAGTTACTGGCTCAAGACGAAATTCTTCTCGGAGGACTAAAAATAATATTATCAGTTATTTAATGCAATTTCTCATTTACGTTAATGATAACTGATGCTAAAATGCACACAATGTGTCCTAAGTGATAATACCATTAACGAAGTTAAATTCAAAGTCAAATTCATTTATTCATATAGGTCACACTTATGAACGTCAAAAAAGAAATACATATTAAATGCTTCTTATTTTACATTTACTGGCAGTTATCAAATCAAGTGCGTAGAATGAAAGAGAATAACTGGCAATAAACTCTCCGCTACTCTTTTTAATCGCCAAGTTTTTTGTTTTACACAGTATTTGAAAGGACTCAACCATTACACCTTTCCAATGATTTTGAGAGTACTCGTAAATACTCGGTGTCTATTAACTATGTAAAACATTTTTTTAAGTTATCAAGCAGTAGATTTTTTAACAGCTGAAAGTCAAATCGTAAGACAAGTCATTACAATTTCTTTGTACACCAAAACATTGCCACTGAAAAGAGTGGCGGAAAGTTTCTTGCCCGATCTACGCCTTTCATTTGGGAACTGATAGTAAATGTAAATAGGTATGTATTTTTCATGATCATTTTTCAATCTAATAAGTAGGTGATCAGCTCCAGTGCCTGACTCACGCCGTCGACTTTTTTGGTCTAAGACATGTCAGCCTCACGATATTTTCCTTCACCGTTCGTTAGAAAGAAAGTCTATTGGTGCACAGCCGGGAATCGAACCTACGACCTTAGGGATGAGAATCGCAGTGAATCGTAGACCAATACTGCGCCATTTTATTTAAATATTGGCTATTATAAATGCAGCTGTTATATTATTATTATTACTTGGCAATTTACTAACTTACTAGCAGAATTTTTCAAGTCAGATAATATTAATATACTCGTGTGGTACTCACCGGCTACGTGCAATGTCGCATTTCGACTCCTTGCTGTTCCATAAGCATTTGTTGCCTCACACCAGTATACTCCAGCGTCCGAGTGTGCCCGGCCATGAGTTGCTCTGAGGAAAAACAGCCCCCCAGCCGGCAACAAGCTTCTATGGGTGTCTGATACCACAAGAACGCCAGCCTTGTACCAGCGTATGATGGGCGATGGAGAGCCCCCAGCTCGGCAATTCAGTGTCGCTGGTTGGTGCCTGGCCACCGTCACATCTAGTGGCTGCTCTATTATGTAGGGAGCTTCCCCACTCGGGTAGTCGTCATTTATGCCGCCATTTACTGAACCTGCAGAAGTATTATTATGAATGTAGTACGAAAGTAATATCATCTAAGAACGGCTCAATAATTTTGAACAATGAGTCCTAATGTTCTACTTCAACGAAATATTTTTGTCACCGGCAAGGATTTTAATTATATCTTAAGTAAAAAACTCTTATTAGTACAAATTATGATGTATGTTTTAGTATTGAAGCAGCCGGAAATACAAGCTTTTTTCACTTGTGAATTTTCCGTTTCGCCCCGTTACTTACACGTAACTTGAAACCTCGAGGCAATTCAAAAAGTAACAATGGCACATTTTCTTTACCATTAATAATAGAGGAGCGTGTCGCTTATAGCTACTCTTAAAACATCGCACAATAATAATGAAGCGTAAACATAGGCCTGCTAGGGACCCCCGAACCCTGGACCCTCGTGTACGCGCAGATGTTAGTTTTTGACACTCGAATTGATGTATGTCTATTGTTGCCTCCGGGCATTATTAACAGAAAAATCGATTGCAAAAAATACACGATTTCTCTAAAAATTGGTTCTCGATGTATGCAGACTATTGTGCAAAATAATTGTGTTTATTTATTCTCGTGTCCCAACATTGTGAATGCGGTGCGTTGCAAGGGCTAATCTATAATTGAATCTCCATTCGATGTTATCTTTCGATTTTTGCTGGTTTCCCTGGTGACTTGTTTGATATACTGACCTATTTAGACTTAAACGGATTTAAATTTAAATCCATTATAATATTTATGTAGTTTAATGTTTCGAATTACAATTAATGTTTGTAATTAAAAATAAATTTTACCAATAAATTAATTTAAGTTTTATCCATGTAAAATCAATAGCGCTACACCTTATTAGGTCTGGGCCTTAGATTGCTGTATCTGTTTCATGATAATTTGGTAATCTACTAGGCAAGTTGGTTGATCAGCCTTCTGTGCCTGACGCACGCCGTTAACTTTTTTGGGTCTAAGGCAAGCCGGTTTCCTCACGATGTTTTCCTTCACCGTTCGAGCGAATGTTAAATGCGCACATAGAAAGAAAGTCCATTGGTGCACAGCCGCGAATCGAAACTACGACCTTAGGGATGAGAGTCGCACGCTGAAGCCACTAGGCCAACACTGCTCACCCATTATTTTGCAACTAAATACAATACAACAAAACGTATTTTTTTAAACTATGGGTGAAATTATATAATTTCATTCAGATTTAATCATTTATGTTTAACTATGTTTTATTATAATATAGTTTCAAGTTATAAATTACGCGTGAAACTCGTAAAAGAGACATGTCAGTGATAGCAATGTAGACGAGATAAAAATAAGACTTAGCGAAACGCAGGACATAAAATATTGTTTATGTTGATCTCAATACTTTATCGCACATAAAACCGCTTTATTGCTTAGTTGCGCGTTTGAACTCCATCGATTATGGGATATAGGAGGAATATCCGTGTCTGATATAGTAAGGAAGTTAAAAAAGTAAACGATAGATTAGGCAATTCGGTTGACTTCCGTTCCAAATTCAAAAATAACCCTATCCGTTGTTACACGCGTTTTATATTTTACATTTAATCTGAACTTAAATAGAAGTAAATTTGAAATTCGAATTCGGTCATTTTTTGTCTGTGTCTATGCACAGAACGTATAAGCCTTTGATTACATGGCAATTAAAAAATATTTTTTCAGAGACGGTAAGCAATCACGGCGAGTACTTCACAGCGTAATGAAGGAAGGTAATTTATTTGCTAATATTTAACGGTCATAGCATAAATTACAATTAACTCGCGCTGCACATAATTTATTTTCACGCGAGTCTTATGTTTCATTAAGATTGATACGAAACGCAATCTAAAAAAAGCAAAGGGATTTCATCGCACGCGCATAGTTACGGTCTATTGTTCAAAAATGCAAAAAAACTGCGAGGGTGCGTCGCGTCCCTCTAATTTATAATCTTGCACATGTTGACACGCGTAAAGAAAAAAAAAATCACAAACACGGCTTTCGCATCAGTCCGGGGCAACTTTGTTAGTTTACTTTTAAGTTTCACGATTAATCGTAAATCAGGTTAACAGATGCTTTAAAAACGATTTCCTTTGATTCTAAATCTGTATCATTAGCAACGTATCACATATTCGTAGACGCTACTAACGGATATCGTTTGACAGTTCTTTGATGCTACGGTAACAAAACTATTGACTTAGCTTATATTATCAAACGCTGCATTCAAATCCTTTTTCGAAATAATAATTTAATTATATCACTCCTCCTTTACTGTGCAAAGTATGTTTGGAACTCCTTACCTTCCGTTATCAGACGACCTGTCTTAATATTTATTTAAGAATTTTATAACTAAGCATTCCTGTGTTGCCTCGTAATTAGCCTAAGATTAGCTTTTACATTTTTAATAATATTATTTGTCTATTTTTTTTAGTTGGTATTTCTATAGTTACATGATATTTTGTTTTTTTTTGTATAATTTTAATGCACTTCTTGTACTTTACCCTCAGTTGGTGTATTTTTTTTTTATTTTTCCATACTAGGGTTGCCTGGAAGAAATCGCTTCTTAGCGATGAGACCACTGATAAACTTAACTTTTAACATTATTTACATAACCCGACTTTTCGAGAAACTATTCTATAGTTGTTCACGACTAGGTAGGAAAGCTCTCAATGTATATTATAATTCAGTAACTGTTTTTTAACACATTTATAATAATATAGTAAAATTGTGTCTTTGAATCGATGATGGCTCTTAAAACACCTTTATGTTTTCTATCAATAGTTATGCTATGCTACATTTGTCCTCTCTGATATAGAAACTTCTTATAACTACTGCATTACCAACTGTTTAAGTCCATAACAAAATCTACTAAAACATATACCACATCAGTTTAGGTCTGTAATTTCAATAGATTATTAACAAGAGATTAAACTGTGAAATACAGATTTCATTATTAAAATGTCTTGGATTTATTCAACTAGTTCTTCCCTTGAATATTTAAGTATGTCGCCCTAAGTAACACGATAGTTGTTCGCGAATATCTAATTCTAATGATCGTGATTGGCTCCCTTAGGAGGCAATCATGATTTTTCGAATTTAGAACACGTGTTCAATTTTGACCCCTTTGCAACATGACTCTGAATCATTACGTGATTTACTGAACATTTGCTATTATTATCGAATAATAATTTCATTCAACGCTTTTATAGTAGTGTTCATAATTAGCTGCAAATGTTTACCGCGAAGTTGAATCCAGTCATATAGTCTGTACATTCTATGAGTTACATCAAAACTATTTACCAAAGAACAAAAAACGTCGTGTTAACACCAGTATATGAGATTATTAAAATGACGATCACGTGTGTCAGGATATTGCTGATCACCTACTTGCTTAAAATATATTATTATGAAGATTGAAGAGTTGAGTATGAAAAAATTCATTTCAAACAAACGCAAAATCATTAAATTGTATCTGATTATAGCTTCAGAACACAAATATTTTTAAAATTGAGATAATTGGTTATTTATGCAACGCCGTTTTTTATTAATAATACAACAAACAAAAAATTATAGTAAAAATGTCTCTAAACGATACGGTTAATGAAATAGCACTTATGTTTTACAACACAAAAACAGATGCACACGTGGTAAAAATTAGCCGCCTGAACGGATGGACGGATTACATTAATATGAATTTCGTGTTTCAATGTTTGTCTTCTAAGACCTCCTAATGTACGTCACGAATTGTTGACGCAGTGTCATCTTTCACAACCGATTTGTACCTGAAATTGGGGAACGAACGAACGAAATGTTGAACCTTACTCCATAGCAATAAGACGTGCATTTTTATTCTATGTCCATATGCGAAATTATAAAATCGACGTTACAATTATAACAGCGGCTGAAGAAAGGACCGGTTGAAACATTTCTTGTGTGTTTGTTTACGTGGACAGATGAAATAACAGCCTAGTATCAATGACAGATACAGAAACATCTTTGACATCGGAAGTACTAATCTGTTAAGCTAGCCAGCAGATCCTGGTAGGATTATGTTTAGTTTTTCTTAATACCCTCTATTACATTTTGTATGAAATATTTATGAAAATCAATAAAGTAATAAATGCTGCTATACATGCATACACGTAGATTATGTTTTAACGGTACTAATTCAATAAAGATTTAGAGATAGATTTGAGATAGATAGAGATAGAGTTACGACACTAATTCATTACAGATATAGAGGCAAATAACAAATGGAATTATTACGTAAGACAAAATACATTTGCAGGAAAATGGAAGGTAGAAGCGGTAGCCGCTCCCAAAGCGTTGTTTTATTTGCTTCCGTCACCATTAATAAGATATATCGGCTTACAGATAAAAGGCTGTAGTTTGCGAAATGAAAGCTATCTGATCGAACCGAAGCACAAACAAAAAACTAACTGATCGTCTCATGTGATTACACTGTTTAGTGACGTCTATATACAGCGTAATTCCGATCAAAATCAACCCATTTAAAATTCACAAACCTATAATTTACCGACAGCTCTATTGTCCCTACTTCCGTAATATTTCAAATACTGTATTTCAAATGGGCGTTATACAGAATCATGTAGGGTCAAAAAGTTTCGATAATCATAAAAGTCAGTATTCAAGAAAAGATACGACCCATTTTTCAAATATCCAAGTGTACAATGTGCGTATTGCTTTGTGTATTCCTAACGATTGATTCTGTTTATTATATTTTTCGTCATATTTCACGGGGCATCCATCATGAATTAGGCACAAAAGATAGACATCGTTTAACATTAGCTTAACTTCTTTACGCTTTGATAACCGCCTGGGGCGCGCTTTTTATAAGCCGATTCATGAACCACAGACTAAAATAATGCTTTACAGTGTGGGGTGACAGTTACACAGTTACGTTCATACGGCTGATTGTAAAATATAGACTAGACAAATCTACGCATGTGTATTTTGTTAAGCTAATGAGTTTTGTCAATAAGTTACGCTTTCCCTAATAGTTATTAGGCCCTGGAGAGTCGTTACGTGACAT